AAGTGCAATCGTACAGATTTTAAGATCTAATACATGCATGTCATACCTAGCGATTTGCTAATATGAATGGAAATAATGTTTTATTGGAAAGAAGCTTACAGAAATACTCTATTAAAATTCAATTAAATATAACACAATATGTTACATCAGGCAGATATAATGATGTGCATTGTTTTGTAAATTCTCCAAGGACTGGAACTGATGATCCTAGCGCATGACTTCTAATAGGCTGCTAATTAAAATAGCACAATAAAACAAAAACATTCACTGAGCGGAAAATCATTTGTTGTGACATCCCTAGAATCAGGGTTCTTGTTTCTGTCATATTTACCAGCCCGGCATGACTTCGATTCCCCGCTTGCATGTGGCAAGGAGTACGGTCACCTGTCCAACCTCACGGCTTGTCTCCGGGTCCTCTGGTTTACTCCCATAGCTAAGCGAATTATTGAAATAGAATTGAACCATATGTTAGTCCAGAAATGACCTAGTTTGTGTCGAGTGGAGGTTAAACCCTGTTTCTCTCTCTGTCTTTAGGCCTTAAATGTTAAATATTATTAATTAGACATTTATTAACATGACAAGACCATGATCAACTCTCGATGTCATTGGATTTCTCCGATATTACGTAGATTAGAACAGTCTGGCCATTTAATGATTTAATTTAAAAATGGAGACGTGAATAACCAGAGATAAATAATCAATGGACACATCTTGTCAAACCTACAAACATTGATAACTTCGCTCAGAATAAAGTAATTTGAATGAAATACTCAATGTATTCATTTTGCAATTTCTATTTTTGAACTACTATAGCAAGAACAGCCAATTCAAAATCTAAATCTTGTGCTTACATAATATATCATTAATTGCAAGTCCAAGGTAAACAAAATACATCAAAAATCAATAAACTGGAATATTTTCGAAGTTAAAGCCTTCCTTGCTTAATTATGATAGGGAAATATAATCCTAAGAAATATTGTTTAAACCTGTGGAGGCATCAAGTCTGTCGTCGATAAGAAATTGATTAAAAGAGTTTTAGATTTATTTTGAGATTTTTAGATGATAATAAACATGGATATCTTTATAGAGTTTAATGGTTTAATATTCTATTAGTGATATATTTCATGTTATGTCAGTAATTTAAACCGTGCCGTATATTATGTCATTAATACTGAATTTATGGTAGATGGCTTGGGGAGGTAGGAAAATTTCTCCTTGCCATATTAGAGACTTTTAAAGATTTCACAGAAAATTACACACCACACAAGGGGTAGGTGTGTGTGTGTGTGTGTGTGTGAGAGAGAAAGAGAGAGAGAGAGAGAGAGAGAGTTTAATGTCCACTAGACACAAACTATGTCATTTTGGGACTAACATATGGTTTAATTTTATTGCAATTATTCGCTTGTGAGTAGGGGGTCTTTTACAAGGGGAGGAAACCGGAGGACCCAGAGAAAACCCACAAGATTGGACAGACAACCCTATTCCTTGTTACGTACAACCGGGGAATCAAAACCACACCAGTTGACTCAATGACAGACCTTTTGATACAGCGCGCACACGCTAACCATTCGTCCATCCAACCCCCCTAGGAGTAGGTAACATTTACACTAACCCTGAACCTAGAAAAACAGAAACTAGAAAAACAGATAAATGAATTTTCTGTATGGAAAAAATCTCTGGCAACCGGTCTGCCCCCCCTCCTCCACCCCACCGGCCTAAATATAGACAACACCTGTATTTAAAAAACACCTGAAATCGTGATGTAATTCTTGCTGATTGATTTACCAGGGGATTAAAGATTTAATCCTTTTATCAGGAAATAATTGATCTGTAATACATGTATTGTAAAACATGTCAGTGTAGAAAAGTAGGATGTTAAACCCCATTTAGAAATGAAAATAAAATGAAATGAATTGGAATGGGGTTTAACATCCTACTGTTCTGCTCCGACTGGGCTAATGAAGATGGGCATACGCCATGCAATGTGCTATGAGAGAAATTTTGCCCGGGCAGTGGCACTATGGCCTACTCTTATATCGAATTCCAATTGCCAGGGGATCTTTTACGTGCACGCCAATTTATACACGATACCTCAGTTTTTCGTATCATCCGAATGACTAGACAGCTCTCCTTGTCAGGCCCTCCGTCCTGCATTACTGACAAGGGGGAACCACGCCAGAAAATCTTAAACTTTCTCGGCCAATGCAGGAATCAAACACCCGACCACCAGGCTAGCGAGCCAGCATCTTACTCACTTACCCACCATGACCCCCTTTTCATTTTAGACAAACTAACTAAATTTTGAAGCAGTTAAAAATTCTACAAAACTCTTAACTACTTTTACGAGCATTATTGTGTATACATGTACATGGCCTTTTTGTGTCCCATCTGAATGACTATTCCTATTTTCACAAGGATAAGCCACGTAACCAAATAAATCTGTTATTAACAAGGTCAAAATAACATGGGACTAGATAATAAATCTATATAGTTATTCACACTGTCCTATACAATATATTTAGTTATTATATCCTTTATTACGCGATTGTATACCCGTCCTCAGTTAAACCATATCTATTGGCATACATAGCCACTTAATGTTATCTATAAACTTAAAGATACATACACACTTTTAGTTAATCATTTCATTACATAGATTATTGATAGATCAATACATACAGATTATCTGCATGTTTCATTCATTTATTTATTTATTTATTTATTTATTCACTCGTTCATAATACCATTGTTCAGACATGATTTTTTAGGGACTAACTTATGTTAAATCTTTATTTTGATTAAATCGCTTGCACATAGTGATCCTTAAGCGTGGGAGGAAACCTGAGGACCCAAACAAATCCACAAGTTTATGTAGGGAAGTGATGCTACTCCTCGTAACACAACCATAACACTCCCCTCATTGACAGACCCTATATCATGTCCATTTGTAGGATCAGTGTAAATTTTGGAACCTATTTATAAATGGCACAGTGGGAATGTATCTTTAACTATTATAGTATTCAACAAGTGTGTACTCGGGGAAAGTATCTTCAACTGTTATAGTACTCAACAAGATTGTACTCGGGGAATGTATCTTTAACTATTATAGCATTCAACAAGTGTGTACTAGGGAATGTATCTTTAACTGTTATAGTACTCAATGAGTTTGTACTCGGGGAATGTATCTTTAACTATTATAGTATTCAACAAGTGTACTAGGGAATGTATCTTTAACTGTTATAGTACTCAACAAGTTTGTACAGATAAAACTTCCTGTATTCATGTCATTGTATAAATATAGACTTAGATTCACATAGTAATGTTTTTATTCAACATGGCCAGGTAAGAGACATGCTTCTCTAAATCAGGGTGGCCGAGTAGGTGGCCGAATGGGTTAAGGTATGTCAATTTGATTCCCAGTTTGTACGTGACAAGGAGTAGGGTCGCCTGTCCAACCTCGTGGGTTTTCTCCGGATTTCCTCCCACTGCTAAAGACCCCTACGCACAAGAGGAATATTGAAATTAAATTGAAACATATGTTAGTTCTGAAAAGACCTTTTTTTTTGTTTGTGTCAAGTAGGTGTTAAGCCTCTTGTCTTCCTCTCTCTTTCTCTAAATGATGAATTTTACCTCACTTCTTGTAAAAACTTTCATGTAAAGCCAAATATCAAATTTCCACAATGTAATCTGTGGTGATATATTATTTAACATTTTTAAATTAAAATGAAGAAAACAAAATCTCCCGGCTTGGATTCAGTTGTGTTAAATAAAGGTCCTTTAAAAGATTTTAGTGAAGATTACATTGTCCTGCTTGAAATCACAAGGATTTATCAAACGAACGGACTCCTGATTTGTGAACTACTGCCATGCTCAACCAGCCATGATTGCTCCTGTATTAAAATCGGCATGTTTTTCATACTCGGTGCACTTGAATTATACAAAACAGTCAACCATATCTAGTTGTGTGCCCCAGGTAAAACCCAGGTACAAACCAGGTACAAAGTCTTTTATCTTTCAACATTACTCTTTGTTGTTTTAATCAACTCATTAATATAAAGACTACAATTACTCTTAGATAATCACAAAAACCCCACCATTTATTGATTGTACCGGAAATTCAATTCTCTCTTCTATTTAAATACAAATCGGTGTATTAGTTCAATTGAAATGTTTTTATTGATTGCTTGAATAGCGCTGATGTCACGTTAACTAATTCTGGTGTCACATTAACTAATACTGGTGTCACATTAACTAACACTGCCAGATTAACTAATATTGATGCCATATTAAATAACATTGGTGTCACATTAACTAACACTGCCACATTAATTAATATTGATGCCACATTAAATAACAATGATGCCACATTGAATAACTCATCAAGGTTAATGATACTGACGTCACACCAAATAATACTGTGACATGGAATAATACAGATGCCACATTGAATTACACAAATGTCACATTCAATAAAACTGAAGCCACATTGAGTTACACAAATGTCACATTAAATGATACCAGTGTCACACTGAATAAAACTGATGTCACATTAGATAATATGACTTAATACAAAGAATATCTTTTTTCTCAGGGTACCCTCATTTCCCCTAAGTGGAATAAAGATGACCCGAAAAGACCCAAGGGACTACATCCACATCTGCTAGAAAAATTGCTCAATACTAAATATCCAGAACAAACACAACCACAGGATGATACAAATCCGTACAAAGCACAAAACGATCATAAACATTTAATTAACAGAAAATAAATACACTTAGCTGTAAAGCTCCAACACATGTTCCACTACAAGATCTTACAAACTAACATCCAAATACTTTAAACATAATATAAAAACATATCTACATGACGTCTATATCTAAATATAAAAACATATCTACATGACGTCTATATCTGAATATAAATATATTCTGTGGACATTAAAACATTTATTTGAGTACAACATAAAATTAATGTTGATGTTTTTTTTTGTATATTTGCAGTGTAAGTAGCGGTGAGGATCACCTCGAGAAGTTAGCGGAGCTGGAGAGATTATTAGCACAGGCGCAGACGGACAAGTTACGTCTGGTGGAAGAACAGGTAGGATAAAATATTATATTCATAATTCGATTGGCTAGAATAATTTCAAGGTGATCATTTTCAATATGGCGTCTCAAACTTCCAATACTCAGGACTGGCAAATATGAAATGAAATGGGGTTAAACGTCCTACTTTTCTGCACCAAGTGAAATTTTGCCCAGACAGCAGCGCTACAGACTACTCTTATATCATATTGCAACTGTTAAGGGTTCCTTTATGTGCATACCAATGTGGAAACAGGATCTCAGTTTTTCGGGTGTTCGATCCCTGCATTGGCCGAGAAAGTTCATCCAGATTTTCCGGCGTGGTTCTCCCTTGTCAGTGATGCAAGACGGAGGGGCTGTCAAGGAAAGCTGTCTAGTCGTTCGGATGGGACGAAAAACCGAGGTCCCGTGTACACATTGACGTGCACGTAAAAGATCCCCTGGCAGCTGGAATTCGATATAAGAGTAGGCCGTAGTGCCGCTGTCCGGGCAAAATTTCCCTCATAGCACACTGTATGGCGTATGCCCGTCTTCATTAGCCCAGGTTAGGAGCAGAACAGTATAGGACGTTAAACTCCATTTCATTTCATTTCATTTCTCAGTTTTTCGTACCGTCCAAATAACTAGACAGCTGTCATTGTCAGGCCCTCTGTCCTGCACCACTGACTGTAACTTTCTCTGCCTACACTGAGTGCTGACTGTCCTGTATTTCTAAATTTAAATTGAAAGAAATTAAAAAATACATTATGTAAGAGCTAAATTTTCATATGACAGGTCTCTTTCTGGCTTCAAATGTTATTTAGATTATTATTCACAAGACAAGCCCAAATTGGATGACTCAGATATTGAATGGGTTAGACCATCCTAGCCATATAATTGTTTAAAAGTTATAATGGACGTCACTGACTATTAAGACTTTGTTTATTACCACGTCACTGACTATTAAGACATTGTTTATTACTGTATCGTAAGGTCTGTCAATGAGTCAATGGCTTGGTTTCGATTCGCTGGTTGTACTTGACAAGGAGTAAGGTCACTTGTCCAACCTCTCGGGTTTTCTCCGGTTTCCTCCCACTACTAAAGACCCCTACACCGCAAACGAATTATTGAAATAAAATTGAACCATATGTTAGTCCCGAAATGACTTAGTTTGTGTCGAGGGGACGTTAAACCACATTTCTCTCTCTCTCACTTGACAATTAGCTATTGCTTGTTAATTTGACTGAAATTTTCAATATACTCTATTTTTGACCGACCAGCTCTTTATCTAAATCTTTATATAAATTATGACATATCGTGTACAACTTCTTGAAATGTATGGCGTCCAATTCAAATCATATCATTTAGATTATTCCATCCACTTTAAACAATATCATGTAGATTATTCAGGAATCAGAAGTAGGTTACGACAAACTTATAAAACCGAAATAGAATTCTTCATTTCAATCCTGGCTTGACGTTGACTTCCTGGCAGGAAACTAAAAGTCTGTCCGTAATCCAAACTAATCCGTCAATTACTATGTTGATGAAGAGAGGAAGAGTGATCAGACGCGTCGACGACACAGCTGTCTTAAAACCAGCGGAAATTTGGATGACTATATAAATGTAATGAATTGATTAATAATAAAATGGAGAAATGTTGGAAGACATGTTCGAATAAACTAGTGTGTTTTTCCCGTTCCAAATGATTAAAATTATGATTGGGTATATATTGGGGGAAAGGACAGCCTACCCAGTGGGACTTGGACAACTTACCCAGTGGACATGAACAACCTACCCAGTAAGACATGAAAGACGTGTCCACTGGGACAAAGATAACTTACCCAGTGGGGCATGGCAACCTACCCAGTGGGGCATAGCAACCTACCCAGTTGGGCATGGCAACCTACCCAGTGGTGCATGGCAACCTACCCAGTGGGGCAAGGCAACCTACCCAGTAAATCATTAACAAACCTACCCAGACGAACGTGGACAACTTACCCAGTGGACAACCTACCCAGTTGTCAAGGACAACTTACCCAGTGAGACATGGATTACACAATCTATCTACATGTAACATTTGGGTAAAACAATGGAACATGAAATAATGGTAACTTTTGCATTGCTGGGCAAATTACGACCGGATAGTGGGATTTCAGTCTATTGTTCTACGAGTTCCAACTGCTAAGGGTTTTTTTTTTTTTTTTTTTTTTTTTTATATGGTAGGGAGACTTTCCATGTCTTGTTGAGTCTTTTAACAAAATAAATAAATAAATAATAAAATAAATATAATACAGGTAGGTTGGATGGCTATCAATGAAGATATAATATGTGGTCATGGTGACCACAATCTTTATCGTACAAAAGTTAAGTTTGACGTCCTGACGTCCTTGTTATGTTACGGAAATAGACCTCAGACGTGGTATTCATACGATTATCAATAGACTGTCTTTATTTTACTGTCGTCTATAGATATGTAAATTGTTCTTCAGTAAACATGTCTGACCTTGTTGACCAATCGTTGGTCGATTGTCAACATTTAGTAGCTTACACGTCTACCTATTTAACAGGAACATGCCTTCGGGATAATTCCTTCTTTGACTTGACAAACAATTGAAAGACCTCATGTTTGAATTCTGGTGTCGCTATTTGAAGTTGTACCCGGTTTCACTGGGCTCCCTGTTCAATTGACTTGACTTTCTTTAGGTATGTATATGGTTACTCTTTTCATATGGACCTTTTCAACTTTTTATTATAAGTATAAATCTTTGTATATTAGGTGTCTGTCATTGAGTCAACTGGCATGGTTTCAATTTCCCGGTTGTACGTGACAAGGAGTTGGGTCGCCTGTCCAACCTTGTGGGTTTTCTCTGGTACCTCCATTTTCCTCCTATTTCTAAAGACCCATACGTCCAAGCGAATTATGGAAATAAAATTGAACCATGTGTTAGTCCCGAAATGACCTAGTTTGTGTCAAGTGGACATTAAACTCTCTCTCTCTCTCTCTCTCGCTGGTGAATACCATCTATTTTTTTTGTGAAAAACTCTCATTGCTACATAGCCACCTTTTTCGTAGTTACAATAATAAGGTACCAAGCCAAACTGGGTACCAAGTAAAACCATGACACTGGAGTTGGTCAGAAATTTCAGAGAGAGCACATATCTACAGTGGATGAGTGGATGCATATGGCTAGCCCCACCCTCCCCCAACATTCACTTGATCTGATATGTTTATTGTTTGTATAATTATTGTTTTATCCTGCGTAACAAGGACAGCCGTCTAGTCATTCGGATGGGACGGAAAACGGCTGTCTTGTGTATACATTGGCATGCATGTAAAAGATCCTCTGGCAGTTGCAATTCAATATAAGAGTAGGCCATAGTACCGCTGCCTGGGCAAAATTTCCCCCATCGCATACAGCATAGTTTATGCCCGTCTTCATTAGCCCAATCAGAACAGAACAGTAGGACGTTAAAGCCCATTTCATTTCATTTTTATCTAGTATAATTGTGTGTGATGCAGTCCCCCTGCACTTATAATGAACAATTTGTACTCCCGAGAGAGAGAGACCTACATCTGAAAGTGTTATCTAAGCATCTACGACTCAAGCACTCCAAGTACTATTCATCAATGATCTCCAGCATCAACGAATAATTTATATATTGAAATAAAAGGTGTCGAATACCCGTCTAGCAGTCCAGGGAGAAGTGTCCGTACCAACACCATACTGAAACAAGTGGAAAAGATGTCTAGAAGCCAGGGAGAATCTGAAATAATTTTACACACCAATCATATTTAGCAGTCTGGATTGACTGTCATTGAGAATCAACTAAATGGTGAACTTACACCGTAAACCATCATTTAATCGGGTTATAGACCTAACGGCCCTAAACCATAACGACCAAAATAATTGGTCATAACGGCCAAAATATTTGGTCATAACGGCCATACAAATTGGTCAAAACAGCCATACAAATTGGTTGTAATGACCTAAAAAAAACATACCATGTATTACATGTACGAAATGGTATTTATTAACATAAATACTGCATAATAGATATAAATACAAACATTACATAAACATTAATTTAATATGTAAATTTACATAGACATTTAACATAATACAAACTATAATATTTCACATACATAATACATTGTATAAAACATACAAACTATAAAATTTATTTCAATAATATTTCACAAACATAATACATCTAAATATATAATTTACAGTGTTGATAAAAAGGCTTTTTCACGATTTTAAAAGTCCCATCCATAAACCATTGCCCTGATTAAGCAAGCAAAGCCAACTGTCTTGTGGTTTAAGACATCAAATGTCTTTCTCCTTTAACTTTTATATCGGCACGTAAAAAATCATCAGGTATTGCATCTTCATTTACCTTGACAAATTTTGTAATATTGCATCTTCAGCAGCCCGGTTAATTCACAAAGTATAACGTTTAACCCCATTTCATTTGACTGCATGGAGTATGTCCATCTTCATCAGCCCGGTTAATTCAGAAAGTCAAACGTTTAACCCCAATTCTATTGACTTGATGAAACTAGAAATTGGCCATTAAGATTGGATATACGATAGAATTTGACTTCCTCCCATAGTTTCCTGGCTGTAAATGGATTCCTTGCTGTCTTCCTCTGACATAAAACAAATAAGATGAAAGAAGATTATTGTAGTGTCACTTGACATGTCAATTGAGCTGCCACTCGTCATGTTGTAGCTGCCACTTGACAGCTGGCTGCCGTCAATATCAGGCCCTGTTGAGAATTGATCAGTGAGGTTTTCTGGTCATCAGGAGGAAGTGAAGGATGTTATGATAGTATGATGGACAGATGTACAATTCACACAAATAATTTACTATTCTTACTCAAGTCCTCATTTATTATAGATAATTAATGGACATCTTTGATAGAAAGGAAATGGAGTTTAACGTACTACTGTTCTGCTCCGACTGGGCTAATGAAGACAGGGTTATGCCATATGTACAGTGTGCTATGGGGGAAATTTTGCCCGAACAGTG